TATTATTATTATTATTATGTGGAAAACATCGCCCCACTCGCCTCTCTATGTAAGTGTTAATGTATATTTATATAAGTTTCTCTAAAACCAAAAGTCAGATCGAGGATTATTGGGGATTCATCATACTCGGTTCAGTAGTCTTTGACATGTCCACGCATTTCAGGGTGTCAGGTATGGTACCTGGGTACATAATATTGTCAGATATTTAAAGTGTACTTGATGATAAGAAGAGTATTTAAAAAAAAACTATCAAAGATTACACGTCCTTCGCGTGCAAGCACCCGAATGAAAAAGGAAGTAGGTGGATATTTAACGCTTATCCCCTCCCGCCAAAATGACATGAGGTGATCTAGTCTGCAAAGAATTTATCCTCTGGGATAATGATAACATTATTTAAACTTACCTAAGTTTATTTTTCTTTAAACCTTAAAGATATTTATTCTCATAACAGACAATAGTCACTTACATGAAAAGTTAAATACTAAAGATACAAAATTAATCACGTCGTGGGTCATTGAAGAGCTTCAAGGATGAGTTAGCGAAGTAGAACTTGGGTGGACTTTAATTTGCGTAGAGAACGGGGATCACTCAAGAGATGGTCTTTTAGTCTTATTTTTAATATTGCCAGGCTGTCTGCACTTTATATGTTGTGGAAGTCTATTATACCGCAGCACTCCCCCAACACTCAATGTTTTTTTACCGTAATTGGTTCCATACTTAGGTAGGATTCGATTATGAGGGCCTCTGAATTTGATTTATTTTAGTGAAAGTAATGTTAGTGTGTAGTCATTAAAAATTATGTAGATTAATAAGCTGTATTAATCGAGCCATATTTATTCGCAATTAATGTAATTTGAGATACTTTACTCAGCCCTGCGATTCTGTAACTCACTTTTTGAACTCACACAGTGGTTTTCGCATCGGCGGTCGCTCTCAAATCAGTCGTGAAGCAGTCATCTTATGATTTGGCATTCTGATAAACAATAAACTACAAGCTCCCACCTTTTCAGAATGCCAAATCATAAAATGACTGCTTCACGACTGATTTGAGAGCGACCGCCGATGCGAAACCACTGTGTGAGTTCAAAAGTGAGTTACAGAATCGCAGGGCTGAGTAAAGTATCTCAAATTACATTAATTGCGAATAAATATGGCTCGATTCATACAGCTTATTAATCTACATAATTTTTAATGACTACACACTAACATTACTTTCACTAAAATAAATCAAATTCAGAGGCCCTCATAATCGAATCCTACCTAAGTATGGAACCAATTACGGTAAAAAAACATTGAGTGTTGGGGGAGTGCTGCGGTATAATAGACTTCCACAACATATAAAGTGCAGACAGCCTGGCAATATTAAAAATAAGACTAAAAGACCATCTCTTGAGTGATCCCCGTTCTCTACGCAAATTAAAGTCCACCCAAGTTCTACTTCGGTATCTCATCCTTGAAGCTCGTCAATGACCCACGACGTGATTAATTTTGTATCTTTAGTATTTAACTTTTCATGTAAGTGACTATTGTCTGTTATGAGAATAAATATCTTTAAGGTTTAAAGAAAAATAAACTTAGGTAAGTTTAAATAATGTTATCATTATCCCAGAGGATAAATTCTTTGCAGACTAGATCACCTCATGTCATTTTGGCGGAAGGGGATAAGCGTTAAATATCCACCTACTTCCTTCTTCATTCGGGTGCTTGCACGCGAAGGACGTGTAATCTTTGATAGTTTTTTTTTTAAATACTCTTCTTATCATCAAGTACACTTTAAATATCTGACAATATTATGTACCCAGGTACCATACCTGACACCCTGAAATGCGTGGACATGTCAAAGACTACTGAACCGAGTATGATGAATCCCCAATAATCCTCGATCTGACTTTTGGTTTTAGAGAAACTTATATAAATATACATTAACACTTACATAGAGAGGCGAGTGGGGCGATGTTTTCCACATAATAATAATAATAATACCTGAAGTATGTCAATTTTTAATCATGGTTACGATCTTAAGACAATGATTTAAAGAAGCAACATTTTAAATAAGAGGGGATCGAAATATAGAATTCTTGAAACTTTTATAAATACCGAATAGGAATTTGTGTATTAATAATACACAAATTTTATACACAAGTTTTGTATATTGAGTTTAATGCTTTTTAACGTTTTTGTACAGGATCTCATTAGACCGACACTCCCATTGTTGTATATTTCAGTTGTTTTTTTTTATATCATATTTATAAATTAAACAGTTAGAGCATTACTATACATATAGCTCTCGTATGGTTCTAAAGGTGCGCTTACACGAGGGCAATAATTGCTCGGCGACACGAATGGACCGATCTGGAGCAATGGATGCGAAAACCGCTGTGTGAGTTCGAAAAGTGAGTTACAGAATCGCTGGGCAGTTCTTGTTGGTCAGGATTTATCCAATCTTTTTGTTCGTACAAGAGGCGAGTGGGGCGATGTTTTCCACTACCTAAAGATATTTTTTGTGCACTTATAGGTACCACGATATCACGATACCAGTTTCCAACACAATATGTAAGCGACATTTGGTACATTTAAAGGCAGGTACTATAAGAACTACAATATAGGCTTGCGAATAATCTTCGCCTCCCGCAGCATCAAAATCTGTGAGAAGTTTCTCAAATTACCTTTTTTAATTATTGATAAATAATATGAATCTACTTGAGTACAGTAAAAAAAATACTTTATGTAACCATGGTAACTGGGCCCACATTACACGTTCAATTAACTAAAACGAATAAATATTAAATACAAAATACACAAATATGAAAAACAAAGACGGAATGAAATTGATAATATTAAAATACAATAAAACATTTGTTTATGATTTTCTCTTCAACCATTATAATATTTATTTTTAAGTGGTATTGTTGTTTAGAAATGGTTCGAGGTATAATTCTCGAAAAATTAAATAGCTTTCTTTTAAATTAATTTAATTACAAAAATTGTCGGGGCCGCTCAAGTATTAAGTAAGTAGATTTATTATCCCCCCCTGCTCTTGTCAGCAGCAAAAGTAAGCAAAGCTTTTAAAAAATAATAGTACATAAACGTACTAATTTTTTGTATGAATCCTCGAAAATGCTCGAAATTCTCGTTATTTGCATTTTTAAATATATGCTCGTAGTAATCAGTCAATAATAATATATTAGCGTCTGGATGTGATACGGCAAATTTTATGTATAATGTAGGGAAATGTAATAGATATATTTCTTTTTAAATAATAGACGTACTAGTTGATGCCCGCGTCCTTATGCAATTGGAATAAAAGTAATGGATGCTACATGTCATAAGTCCAACTCGAAGTGTTTATATATAAATTATATAGGTATGGTAAGCTTAAAACACTTCATTTCTGGTTCGTAAATTTTGTTTATCCCTGAACACTCTGTCCAAAGTCAAGATGGCGCTTCGAATGCCCACACGAGGCATTTCCTGGGCTCTGATTGGTCGTAACAAATATTCGTTATGTAATGATTCTAAATTGTGAAACAAATAAATAATAACAAAACAAAACGAATCAAATTAAATTATGATTCTAAAAAGTATTAGAAGGAATTTAAATTAATAACCAAAGTAACAATAATAATCAACGGTCAATTGATTTGATCAGAACATTTCCCGATAATCCGAGCATTTACCGAAATATATTTTTAATGAATATCAGAAGCTATCCCAAATAAATGGGTGCGAAAACTGTTGACAGGACGAAATCACATCGTACAATACGGATTTGCTGTTATTTTGCTGGTAATAAATAAAAATAGTAACATACTGTTACGAAGACGGGTCGACTGCAATGTTTTTAGATTTTTCCACTACTTAGAGAACTTTTCAGCAGGCTGAAATGTGATTTCTGACCGTTTCAGGGGAGGGTCAATCACATATTAGAAAATCGCAATTTACATAATGTTACCCTAGTTTTCAGGAACCTGAAACATTTTTTCAGGCCGTTTCAGAACAAGTGTAGTCGAATGGTTCACTTTTCAGGAAACCCGTTTTCAGGCGTTTTCAGGCCTGGTTATACCCCTTTGATGAAGGAATGTTCTAGAACGAATTTTCTAGGTGTGGGAGAAGGACGGAACGATACGCGAGAGAGAGGGAAGATCGGAACCTTCTCGAAGCTAGACCGAGCACTCTAGAACGCCGTACGACAAGGACGGAGCAATGTGCGAAAGAGACAGCTAGTACGCACGTTCTAGAATTGTGCGATCGCTACTCAGTTGCGCCGCCGCCTAGAGAGTTCTCGAACATCGCTCCCAGGGATATATAAGCGAGCCGAAACGCGACCGATTAGTTCAGTTTTGAATGCGATACCAAGCGATAAACACCGGAGTGACAAAGTGCGAATATAGTGAAGACAAGTGAATACAAGTACTGTGTGAAGTGCGTGTAATTAGTGACAGTATTTTGTGTGTGTATTCAGTGAATTTTAGTGCGTAATTACCAGTTTTTAGTGTAACAAATTCCTCGTAGATTTAATTGAAATAAACCCTTGAAGAGATCTACGGCGTATCTATCCGATCCCCTAGCTCGTAACAATACCATATAATATATAAAATGTCAGTATTGTTGTTATCCTTACACTATATATATATTTAAATACTTCATACTGCTGTCGTGTTTCTTTTTTTTAACGATAAGGCTTTATTACCTAATATAAATAATGATACATAATATTAATAGAATATATAAGTTGACAGGACATCATTCTAGTTTGTCCTTGTCTCAAAGGAAACTTGCCTATTACAGGTGGTAATTTAAACCGAAATTTAATTTGAATCTCTACCATAAGATTGACACCGTACATTACGTCAATCTGTATGTATGTATTAGAAAATGCCTGGTACTGGTTGGGCAAAACTAAGGATTTTCATGCAAATATTTTAGACGTTTTATACTTTGTCAAAGTCGTGGTAGATTTTCGACTAATGATTATCATACAAAATTTCAGAGCTATCAAAATGGAACTTCTTGTCTACGTGCTGTTACTTAGTCAAGCAGTTCTAGGAAATACTAATTTAGACAGCTGTGACGAAGAGTGTACTTGCATATCAGGGATTTTGAAGACCGAAAAATCTTCTACAAGTGTCCCGGAGGCATTTAGAAATTTTAACTTATAACTTATAACTCCGGACTACGTACAAGTCGCACCAAAGGATTTTCTAGAGGTATTATCAATTTATTCTGAAAGAAATAAAAACTTTATTGTACACATCAAAAAGGATAAATAGAAAGTGGCCCACACTAGCAGTCCTTCGTGGCACAGCCACAACGATCAAACTTGACAATTATATATATACATCTCACAATGCTTGTTAGTAAACTCTTCTGAAAAGGTTTGACTGATTTTTACAAAGTCCTTGAGTAGCACAAAAGAATAATATAAATATATATAAATAGAAACACGTTTTTATCGTTACATATTATTTATGTACTATCTGACGAATAGTCCTATGTTTTAGGTGGACTATAGCACGGCAAAAGTTAATTTAGGAAATTTCATACCTCCTCTTAGACTTGTTGACCCTAAAACTATAAGTTACAATAAAGGAAAAAAACTCGGATATTACACATTGCTATCCATCGGTGAGTACATTTTTTTTAAATGTAATAGGACGCAAACTGCCAGAAGGCTCGCAAGTGCGTTGCCGGCCTTTCAAAATTTTTTACGCTCTTTTCTTGAAGGACCCTTAGTCGAATTGGTTCGGAAATACTTCAGTGAGTAGCTGGTTCATAGCGGTGGTGCGTGGCAAAAACTGCCTTAAAAAACGCTCAGTTGTGGAACGACGGACGTCGAGGTGATACGGATGTATTTTATACTGCCTTGACGTCCGATAATGAAACTCAGCTGCAGGTATTAGACCGAACAACTCCTCTGAATACTCTGCGTGGTAAATGCGGTAGAATATGCAGAGGGACCCCATATCTCTACGCAACGCCAAAAATAAAAGTATTTTAATATTAAGTATCATGTCTAAAATGACTTTCCGATTGTAATATCGCTTACTTATAGATTTTTTAAGCTATTGCATAGATTTTATCGCAGGCTTTGAGCGCGGCGACCGAATCAAGAAATTCCGTAACGAAAAAACCTAACACACGATGACGTAATATATGTGCGGCCACCACGCGTTAGAGCGGGACAGAACGCGTACTGCGTCTCACATCGGTCTGGTGTGATTGGTGATGTAGCGCAGGTGCGTTAGAGTGGGACAAAATATATAGGCGTGTTAGTCTGAGTCTGGTATAGTGGTATATTGAATTAATATCAAAGAAAAAAAAATACTGCATAAATGAAAAATAAATAAATAATTATAACTGCATAAGTGTGCCACACGTATTTTTATTCACAGCTCTGGAGTTGACTATTGTTTAGTTGTCTGCAGATGTATAAAATCATGATTAGTTGTTTTTCTAGTTTGTAGTAACAAAATTTACTTTTTAGACTTTGATGGCGAATCAAATGGAAAAGTTATCACCCTTTTGATGAATATAAGGGATGTGGAGACCATTGTACCAACATCTGGAGATGTAATAGTATTGTGTACTCCGCCCTTACCTGCTTTAGGAAGTGGAGTCCATCGATATGGGAAATTATTGTACGAGCAAAAAGGACCAATTGATGCAAACCAACTTGATCTCTTTAAGTAAGTACTACTGAAGACTTTAAGTTGGTTAAAAAAAAAACAAAATTAGTAATAACTACTAAACGCATTGAAGCAAAGAGTCTTCATGACCAATCTTTTAACATGCTCTGTGGTATATTTAACTCAAAAAATACATAAATATATCTAAAACATTTTCTTGTCATAAATTTAACAGGATGTCATTTGTCGCTTCCACTAATAAAATAATGCGACTCTCATGCCTGAGGTCGTAGGTTCGATCCCCGGCTGCGCACCAATGGGCTCTCTGTATAATATGTGCGCATTTAATATTCGCTCGAACGGTGAAGAAAAGCATCGTGAATAATAATAATAATAATAATAATAATAATCTTTATTTTCTTCTCTCACATACATAAGGTTTTTATGATTAAACTAAGATTATAACATTAGGAAGTGTATGTGAGAGACTGGTCTCTGTAACAGGAGACCTGAGTGACAGATAACCAGCCTCTCCACCACCGGACCGGAACGCGTACAATCATGTCATTGTCAAAGGTTACAATAGAAGAAAATAAGTATTAAGTGCTAAAGAAAACATTGCAAACGGAGTTTTAAAAATAAATTTGGTGTGTGTTTGTGTGTGTGTGTATGTGTGTGTGTGTGTGTGTGTCTCTCTCTCTCTCTAAGTGTGTGTATGCGTGCGTGGGTGTGTGTATATGTGTGGGGGAGTGGGTGAGTTACAGAATGACAGTTATTAGATCCTCTGTTTCATCATAACTCAACGTCTTCAGCCAAGTAGTAACCTTTTTTTTACATTTGTATTTGGGTAGTGGGTAAATGTTAATTTTTTCGTTTAATTTATTATACAAATAACAGCCTAGGAAACCAAAGAACCTTTGCGAGAAAGAAGTTGTCCATTTTGTAATACAACAGCAAACTTTATGTTTTATCCGCTTGTTAATATTTAAATCGGGGTCGTAACTAGTTTTATGATGTTGTTTTAGAACTGTGTTCAGAATAAATAATTGACGAATTGTTAATACATCGGCTAGGGCATAAAGCTCTTTGGTGGGAAAAAGAAGCGGTAAGGAGTGGCTTACTTTTAATACTGCTCGTTGGGCTCTTTCAAGTTTTAGGAGATTGGTTTTGAAAGTACCTCCCCAAACAGTGATACAATATCCTAAAATTGATTGACATAAAGACTGATAAACTACGTTAATAATTTTTTTGTCTGCTATAGACCTTAAAGTTTTGAAGATATAAATGAGTTTACGGGTTCTGCAAGAGAGAAGATCCACGTGAGAATTAAAACTCAAGTTACTGTCGATAACTACACCCAAATACTTAATACTATGGGCAAGGGAAATGCTTTTGCAATGGCAGAGTTGATTTGAAGAGCAAGTATGGGCTATGATAGAAAAATTATTATGAATGTGTGAGGGAATGTTTTTAATAGAGAAGGGCATAAATTTTGTTTTATCAACATTTAGCGTAAGGCCGTTGCCTCTCAACCATTCATTAACAAGGCCAAAACCAGACTGAGCAGAATTATAGACCTCATTCCAATTGTTGCCAGAGAATACAAGGGCCGTGTCATCTGCAAAAGATATTATCTTACCATTTGGCAACTGGAGGTTACATAACTCATTAATGAATGCTAGAAACAACGTTGGGCCAAGTACGCTTCCCTGAGGGACACCGTAAGTTATTGGCAAGTCACTACTTACAAGGTCACCGACCTTCACCCTTTGAAATCTATTTTTAAGATAACTTTGGAAAAGACTCAATTGAGAACCACGGATACCCAGAGATTCAAGTTTGTTTAAGAGAAGTGGGACAGAGACTGTGTCAAATGCCTTAGCAAGGTCCAAAAATATTGCTATAACTTTTTGCTTTCGGTCAAGTTTGGCTACAATGTGATCAGTAAGTTCGTGAACGGCGTCATTTGTAGAACTACCGGAACGAAAACTTTCACTATCTTGGTCTCAAGATAGTGAACAAGGCGTTTGTTTATGAGTTTCTCTATTACTTTTGCAATCGTGGGTAGTTTAGATATTGGTCTATAATTATTGACACATTCTCTGTCACCACTCTTGAAAATTGGAACAATGTCAGCCAGCTTAAGCTGATCCGGAAAAACGCCTGTGGAAAAGATCAAATTTACAATGTATGTCAATGGTGGGACTATTATTTGATGATACCGTTTTAATATAGCACCTGAAATATTATGCCGTCCAGTACATTTGTCTTTTTTTAAGTTGAGAATACAGTTGCGAACTTCACTTTCATCGGTACTATCCAAAACTAAGGATGCTAGTGGCTTGGCCATTGAGGATTTACAACCCCTACCATAGGAATAAGCCCTTTCAGCAAGATCCTTACCAACAGAAACAAAGAATTTATTAATATAATTGATCGATTTAGAGGGGTTATCAGGAGAAATAAGTTGCTCAGCAGGTCTACTAAGTTTTGATATATGCGTTAATTTTCTAATGGTGTCCCAGAGTGCTTTATTATTTGTGTTCGCCGCTGCTTTCAACTCTTTCTCCTCATACTCCTTTTTAAGTTTTTTAAGGAGCCAGTTGCAAAAATTTCTGTACCTTTTGTAGGTTATTTTCTTAATTTCATTGTTCGGGTCTTTTTTATATCTTTTATGAAGTTTATCTCGATTTCGTACACATCTTAGAAGACCAGCAGTCATCCAAGGCTTCTTTAGCCTCTTGCGATTAGGTACGGTGTGAGTTTGAGTATTAGAATTTATTTTAGCATTAATCTCCGAGATAAGAAGAGAAGTAGCAACATTTGCATCTGAAACCTGATAGATCGGTTCAAAGCAAAGGTTTTTCATATCATTATCTAGGCCTACATAATCAATTTTACTATGAATGAAGTCCTTGTTTTGTTCGTGAGATTGCTGGTCTTCCAGTATGAGAACTACGCTGTCATGATCAGTTACAGATGATTCAACTACATAGCAAGCGGAAGAAAAAGTACTTTTCATAAAAACATGATCAAGGCACGTCTTGTTGTGAGTGGATATTGTATGTGCGGGTAACAGACCATGAGAAGCTAGTAGATTTAAATAAAATTGAGAATTCACATCCTTAGTGTTTGGCATAATATCGATATTGATATCACCAATAATTATGACTGAAGATAATTTTAGATCGGTAAGAATTTCGTTTAGCGACTCTATAAATTGGGAGACGTCTTTATATCCTGGCGGTCTGTAAATGGCAATGACGGCAGTATTGTCATTTATTTTTATTACAAGACAATTAGATCCGAGTACTTTCGGTTCAAATATTTTTACGTTCAGACAATTTTTGAAGTAAACTATAACGCCTTCATTTTGAGTCAGGTTGTTTTCGGTAAGGGCATGATAATATCCGTCAATATGGGGAATTATATTTGTGTGGCGTAGCCAGCACTCAGTGAGCACAATAAAGTCCCATTCAGTTTTAGATCTATCTAATAGTGTTAATAAGTCTGGGAAGTTCCGATGTATACTTCGAATATTTTGGTGAATTATTTTCAAACAATTTTCAGGATGTTTAATTAAGGTCTGGAAGTCTTCTATTTCACAACTAGAGGAATAAGCTACGGTAAAATTATCAAGATCTTTTAATATTTCATTTGTTTGATCGAATTTTGGTAGGTAAGATTACAAGCAAGGATGTCTTCAGTGATAAGGATTCTTTGGTGCAGGTTTTGTAGCGTTGCATAGGCTGTTGAGCTATCAATTTTCATAAATTTGTGGAGTAATAGGTTATAACTAATATTTTGTTTATGAATGTGTCCAAGTGTAAACTTAAATGAATGTTTTTGGAGTGTAAGTGAATGTAAACGTCGAATAAATGAAATGAGGGAGTCCATTTCGATCTTTAAGAGGAGTGCAACACTGTTATGATCGGTTATGTAAGATTGAATTATAAGGCAGTGTGCTTCATTATCTGATTTAAATATAATATGGTCCAAACATGTTCGGTTGTGGGTAGGAACGTTATACCCGGGGTGGCTGTTAAACTCTGCAAGCAGATTCAGATAGTCCCATGAGCGCTGGTCACTTGTCCCTTGTGCAATGTCAATATTTATGTCACCTATGATAATTATGTTTTTATAACATTTCAATTTATTTAAAAGTAGGTTTAATGAATTAATAAAATTTAATGGCTCTCTATATCCTGGTGGACGATAGATAGAAATGATGACAGTAGAGGGATCAAATTTAATTACTAAACAGTTAGCGTCATGAGATTCTTGGGGTTCCTCGATGAGTGGACTAGAACCTTTCTTATAATAGACTCCTTCATTTTGTGTTAAGTTATTTACAGTGGCAGCGTAGTTGTATCCTTGTATATTACTGTGATTTAATTGGGTCGAACTGTGCACACAAATAGGACGTGGATGTAAGTTAAGTTTATTTGTACTTAGGATATAGTATTTAGCGATAGTTCTAGCAGGCATAATAGGTATACTAGACTGGCTATAGTTGAGTAAGTGGTGTATGATTAATGTATATGTTTGTATAATATATGTGTAGTAGTTTTTAAAAAGTATAGGTTTGTGATATATGCGGTTTCCGTAATCTCCGCTCACCAGCATGCACAAAAAGATAACAAAAATTATATAGCACTAAAAACAATAAATTAAAAGGTATAAGGTACAGTAACACGTGAGTAAACTTAAAGTATATACTAAGGCTGAATTCCGTATTTCTGTAAGTCTTCCTCTGAGTCAACGCGCATCGACGGTCGAGCCACCCTGATGTAGACTTTGCTGTAAGATGTCCAGCATGCAGCAATCTTCTTACCTTTGACAAGCCCTCTGGCCAGAAAAAAGATGTGTTTTGATTTTAACGGCAGGTGTTCCGATATATATATAGTGTAGGCGGGCCCAGGTATATTTAAATGGGACGTATTTAGCAGAGGCATTTTCGACCCCTTCATTTCCTTGTTGAAGGATTTGGATTTAACTAGGAGTGAGTCTCTAATTGATGTCGTGGTGAAGTCGATGATTATTGAAGAGGATTTCGTACGGTAAATATCTCTCACTTCACTCGATGCCAGGGTGGGGTTTAAGCCAACGGCAGTACCAATATTTTTCACTATACGTGTGAGGGTCTCTTTGTTCTCTTGTCCAGACTTAGGAACATTACGAATTTCAAGTTTTGTAGCGTGGGAGTTTTTTTCCAGCATGTCTATTTTAGTCTCTAGTGAATTTATCTGCTTCTTGTATGACAGGTTTTCCTCCTGGAGCTTTTGCATTGTTATTAACATTTCATCATATTTACTAGAAATAAACTCAACTGATTTTTGGATGTCTATATTTTGTTCTATTACAGTGGTAATAGAAGCATTTAAGTTTGCCATCTTTGTATCCTGTTTTGTTGAAAATTCATTAAACATGCTAAAAAGTTGAGACATTCCGTCTGTAATTTCATTATGTTTCCTCTTTGTTCTCCTCGAGATAAACGAAAATTGGTCAGTATTGTCTATTTTACATCCTGAAGTGTCCAATTGTGGGTCAGAGGCGTAACGGTTAAGCGGTGTCGTTGTGGTTGCAATCAATTTAGTATCGGGAGGCGTGCGAACAGTTGACATTTTGCAGGACTAAATAATTAAATTAACTTAAATAAAAGGGCTAGACTCAAAAAGTCGGCGTGTGTCAGACAAAGTAGGCTGATCACCTACTTGCCCATTAGATTGACAAATGATCATGAAACAGATACAGACAATCTGAGGCCCAGACCTAAAGTTGTTTTGGTTATTTTGATTTCTATATACATGTATGTAATCCGCCTTTTGTGCAATACTGCGATATTTGCGCCTAAGATATGCCGGTTCCCTTCCGATGTTTTCCCTCGCTTATCGCTATTTGTTTCAGATTATCAAGATATCCAGTAATACCTAACCTTACAAAGTTCACGAAGACCTATCACCTTGGAAACCCCGTCGCTGGTAACTTGTATACAACGGAGTTGAGACGCTGTGACAGTTCTGATAAATGTTCGGACAAGGACGACAGTGTAAAAAAATGTGAAAAATTATGTAAAATTCTGTCAAACTGCGATAATGATCAAATAGATCAAATGCAATGTGATGCAGTTGATAAATAATTTCTATTTTTAAATGTGTATAGAATTTATTTATGTGTGTATTAAAATAAATAAATATTAATAAATTTCACTAAATATAAATCTGTTTCTTTGACTACAATTTTAAGGACATCAGATCGTTTTGGGCAGTGCAGCCTGTCTTTGTCATGTTAGAAAAAAATACTACACGAATAATTTCGACCTACATTTATGTCTTTGTAAACTATTTGAGCTGGAACTTTATCCAAACGAACACAGATCTTTGCACCCATGATTTTAGGTTTAAAGACATTTATTTTCTCATTACAGACAATGGTCACTTACATGAGACTTATAGACTAAAAATACAATTTATCACGTCGTGTTTAAGCGTCAAGGATCAATCATCGAAGTATAATTTGGGTGGACTGTCATTTGCGTAGGTAATTAGGATCACTCAGAAGATGGTCTTTTAGTTTAAGTTTAAATATCGCCAGGCTGTCTGCACTTTTTATATTTTGTGGTAGTCTATTGTAACGCAACACTCCCCCAACGCTCAATGTTTTTCTACCGTTATTAGTTCTAAACTTCGGTATAACAAGATTGTGAGGGCGTCGTGAAGTGCGCTTCTGAATTTGGCTTATTTTAGTAAAGGTAATGTTAGTATGTATGTGGTCGTTTAGAATTTTGTATATTAGTAAGCTGGTGTTATATTGGAATAATTGTTTAATATTCATGAGTTTTGTTTCACTGTAAATTTTTTTGTGTAGAAGTTAAGTATGGGTAATGAAAAAGCAATTTAATTACTTTATTTTGAGCAATTTGAAGGTGAGAAATATTAGTTTTAGTCGCGGCTCCCCAAATTTCAATAAGGTAAAGAAGGTGTGATTTTGCCAAAGAATTATAAATATGAAGACGAACTTCACGAGGAAGGCTTCGAACTATGTGTCTAAGGGAACCTCTTAAAGAAGATAATTTAGTTATTAAATGATTTATGTGCGTTGTCCATGTTAAGTTATTGTCAATATACAATCCAAGATATTTTTCACTTTTCTTTTCAATTAGTGGTACATTATTTATTGTTATAGGCGAATGTGGTGGGATTTTAACATTTTTAGGTTTAAAAATTAAGTACGATGTTTTAGCAGTGTTGATAGTTAGCAATTTCGATTGAAACCACAAGTAAAGATAGTCAAGGTCCTTTTGCACTCGAGAAATTATATCATGCACAGATGAACCAGTGTATAGGAGATTTTGATGCATGATTTCATACCAATTTAACAAGGCTCTATAGTTTTTTACTTATTTTAAAATGACAAATTATATAATCATAGATATATTTTTTTCTTAAAAAATGCTGTATTATAATATTATTTTATAACTTACCCCAAAATACGTATAAATTGTCCTGTTAGAATATTTTCATATAAAACAACGTTTAACTTCGCTAAAACTCACTTGTGAATCACGAATTCACCGAGTAAAGAGAATCTTTAATTCACGTGTGATGTCCGATGGTATTATCAGAATACCAAATACCTACAATTTTTGGGCGTAAGTGATTTGAGCGTCGACATTCAGTTTAAAATGTAAACAATCTCACCCGAGCGGCGCTTTTGTCGCGGTTATTGTTTATTAGAATGCCAAATCATAAAATGAGTGATTTAGAGCGGAATCCGCCGTGAGAGTTTGAAAACTGAATTACAGAATCGCACGGCACGGTTAGTCTTAAAATTACAATTACGCATAGAAATTTTACTTTTCTCTTAACAAGCTTTCCAGGCTTCACAGTCGAGACTTGTGGTGGGGCGTGCCCAAGATACCTCCGTAGTCAACAGAAGTGATAGGTGACATAGATTATGTTTTTCATGCATGCAAATAGTTTATACTCCTAGTTTAGACCCGTGTAGGCAAAAAACAAATATTGAATACTTTATTTCAGAATTTTAAAAGCTGCAACTTCTGCTTGTGATATTACTGCGGTCTGGAAACTCTAGTTTTAGGTAATACTAATGTAAATGTGATTGCATTTTCAGAAATCTGAGGTCCAAAAATAGTAGTTTGAGTGTTTCAAAGCCATTTAGAAATGGCTCAAACTAATCGATAATATAACTCCGAAGTCCCAGTCGCGACAAGCGAATGATGTAATATTAATTAACTTTTTCATTATATCAATTGTTTAAAAAACTTAATGCACATTTTATTAATATTGTTTAAATTGGTTAAATTTACATATTATTACACTTGTTAATTAATAGTTTCCCTATATTCCTTGTACTAGGTATCAGTTGTTTGTCTGTTTTACGCGAATTTCGATATGGCAAGAATTATGAGACAATTCCATACCTCCACTTAGTTTTGTCAATCCTAAAAGTATAAACTACTAGCTGGTGACCGCGACTTCATCTGCACAGGATTAAAATAATATTTGTCCATATGATGTAGCGTGAAAGACATATTTTATCTACTTTAAATACCAGAAGCGATAAAAGTATCTATAAATTGTCCCTTTTTTATTGTAGTTATGGTTCACTATTTTGGCTGTAAGACTTACACATAAGATATAGATATATAATGTATGGGGCTTTTTTGTAGGACTATGTAAGATAAACATTTCCATCATACATTACATATGTGTAACTCTAGCGGTTTTGGCAGCGCACGCCAGAATATCTCGCAGATGGTACATTTTTTCCTGCTTACTTGATATTTTGGACAATTCAACACAATATCTTTATAAATTGTAGTGTATGTGTTATGCTGACGTATAAGTTATATTATTGTACAGTTTCATTAAAATCCGTTGTTTTTAAGCGAAAGAGTAACAAACATCCATCCATACTTACAAACGTTCGCGTTTATAATATTAGTAGGACTATACTCAAACTCAAAACTCAAACTCAAAATATCTTTATTCAAGTGGGTAACCAAGTACACTTTTGAATCGTCAAGTTAAATTAATCATAAATTTACATTTACTACCAGTTCGCAAGTCAAGGGCGTAGAGCGGGGAAGAAGAACTGGCAAGAAACTTTCCGCCACTCTTTTTAATCGCCAAGTATTGTCATACAAATTGTTTGAACTGGAGCAATTCAATCCCAAGGATTAGGATCATTTAAGTAGTCCTCAAATTTATAAAAGGCTTTGTTGATTAATTTTCGTTTAACAAGGGCTTTGAATTTATTTAGTGATAATTCTCTAATTTCGCTTGGGAGTTTGTTGTAAAAACGAATACAATTTCCATATAAGGAGTGGTTTATCTTTTGGAGCCTGGTTGGTCGTACACTCAAATTAGTTCTATTTCGCGTATTATACTGGTGAAAGTCACCATTTGTTTTAAAATCGTTTATATTTTTTTGGACATACAACAAGGCTTCAAGAATATATTGACCAGATAGTGTCATAATATTTAATTCCTTAAACTTATTCCGTACCGACTCCCTCGGAGAAACACAACAAATACCCCGAACAGCCCGCTTCTGCAGCACAAATATGGATTGAACCTCTGCAGCAGCACCCCACAGTAAAATACCGTACGACATAACGCTGTGGAAGTAGCTATGATACACTATTTTAGCCGTGTCCTTATCAGTAAACTGTCGGATTTTCTTTACTGCATATGCTGCAGAGCTCAGCCTATTCGAAAGAGTCTCTATGTGTGGGCCCCATTGGAGTTTACTATCTATTGTTATGCCTAGAAAAACAGTTTTGTCAACAAAGTTTAGTTCACTGTCCTTAATTTTCAGGTAACAGGGAAAATGGTTACTACACAGTGTATCGGGCTGTTCGGGGTATTTGTTGTGTTTCTCCGAGGGAGTCGGTACGGAATAAGTTTAAGGAATTAAATATTATGACACTATCTGGTCAATATATTCTTGAAGCCTTGTTGTATGTCCAAAAAAATATAAACGATTTTAAAACAAATGGTGACTTTCACCAGTATAATACGCGAAATAGAACTAATTTGAGTGTAAGACCAACCAGGCTCCAAAAGATAAACCACTCCTTATATGGAAATTGTATTCGTTTTTACAACAAACTCCCAAGCGAAATTAGAGTATTATCACTAAATAAATTCAAAGCCCTCGTTAAACGAAAATTAATCAACAAAGCTTTTTATAAATTTGAGGACTACTTAAATGATCCTAATCCTTGGGATTGAATTGCTCCAGTTCAAACAATTTGTATGACAATACTTGGCGACTAAAAAGAGTGGCGGAAAGTTTCTTGCCAGTTCTTCTTACCCGCTCTACGCCCTTGACTTGCGAACTGGTAGTAAATGTAAATTTACGATTAATTTAACTTGACGATTCAGAAGTGTACTTGGTTACCCACTTGAATAAAGATATTTTGAGTTTGAGTTTGAGTTTATCGGTAAGTGGTTTTTACGAAGATGATGTTGACGGCGACTTCTTTACTTAAATGCTTTGCTTATAAATTGTTTCATTGAGAGCCCGCAGTAACATTAACATGTATTGGTTTTCGACGTCAACAAGCAGTGTTGGTCAGGAATATCTATAAAATAAATCAATGGCGCTACAATCTTTCTTGGTCTGGGTCTCAGATTTCTGTATCTGTTTCGTGATCATTTGTTAATTTAATGGCAAGTAGGTGATCAGCCTTCTGTGCCTGACGCACGCCGTGGACTTTTTTTTTGGGTCTAATGCAAGCAAGGTTTCCTCACGATGTTTTCCTTCTCAGTTCGAGCGAATGTTTTTTTTTTTTTTTATAGAACGGGGTGCAAACGGGCAGGAGGCTCACCTGATGTTAAGTGATACCGCCGCCCATGGACACTCTCAATGCCAGAGGGCTCGCGAGTGTGTTGCCGGCCTTTTAAGAATTGGTACGCTCTTTTCTTGAAGGACCCTAAGTCGAATTGGTTCGGAAATACATCAGTGGGCAGTTGGTTCCACATAGTGGTGTTGCGCGGCAAAAACTGCCTTGAAAAACGCTCAGTTGTGGAACGGCGGACGTCGAGGTGATACGGGTGGAATTTCGTATTCTGCCTCGACGTCCGATGATGAAACTCAGCTGCAGGTATTAATTCGAACAATGTTAAATGCGCAACAAATAAATGTTAAATGCGCACATAGAAAGAAAGTCTATCGGTGCACAGCCGGGGATCGAACCTACGACCTCAGGGATGAGAGTCGCATGCTGAAGCCACTAGGCCAAAACTGCTATAATATATATACGTATTAAAATTGCACTTTTGGTTATTGTTAGATAATATGCATAGTTAGGCAATATACGTAGAACTAAGGAAATGCTGAAGTTTATACTGACTTTCGTTAAATATACGTGAGTTATTGAGGAGTTTCTATTTCTAACCAAAGATACCAAAAAAGAAGGGTATTAATACGACGTTTTTTGAGTTTAGCTTAAGTTAAAGGAGTAGATTAAGTGTTTGGCATTGTGCTGTTATGAAATAAAAGTAGGAATAAATAAATCAAACAATTAAGATGTTGAATTACTAATGAATTTTTGTTCAATAAAACTTCTCTAAAACATGTATGTTATTGACATAATTTTAAGTCTTATTAAAAATATAATTATGTCTTGAATTCATAGGAATAATATTTAAGCTCAACGATTCCGATATGGTCCGTTTCACCATCAACTAATGTGATTGTACCTCTTCTAATCAGTTGAAATAATTAGAACACACAAATTTTGGAATACACACCTGTGTACACATCATGTGTACACAGGTGTGTATTCCAAAATTTTAACACAATAATAACTTCGAGTTTTACTAAAAACATTTTTAATTAGAATAAGGTATTTTCCGCAAATTGTGTATTAAATAAAGTAGTCTCACTCTCTTGAATCGGTAGCTCATGTCGGAGCGTCATGGCCAGCAAGGAAACATCTGGAACGGACAATCTGTCTCCAACGGATTCTCACCAGCGCCTCTCTTATAACCGTGTATAGTTTTGAGGACGATATAACAGGTAAGAGAGTCACCGTCCCACCGGTCACCACTCACACTCACTCATCAATACTCGTTTCCACAATCTTTTCAGTAAAACCCTATTTTAACGCCCACCATGCCGATTGGCTCGGCTCTGAAACCACCGATCACGCGGGAAGATCCTTTCACGACTTTGCTTTAGCCTACGAACTGACACAAATAGTTCCTGCGATTACGCGAATACCAGATGTGGATGGTCATAAACCCACTTTGTTGTACCTTCTGCTGACTTCACATCCGGAGAACTATCAAGTCTCTGTTGACCCGCCATTGGGTTCATCGGATCATTGTGTGGTCCGGAGTACTGTGCCTTCTACGCGCCCTTCACGGCCCCGCTTTATGGGATGTCGCCGTATTTGGCACTATAACTCAGCAGATTGGGACGGGATGCGCTCTTTCTTTGCGTCCTACCCTTGGGGGCCTATGTGCTTTTCGCCGAAAGCTCCAGATTCCGTCGCCGCCTCTGTCACCGAAGTGGTTCTGCAGGGCATGGAACTCATTATTCCATTTTCTGCGGTGCCGATCGGTGGCAAGTCTCAGCCCTGGTTTAAACGTTCTTGCAAGGCAGCCTCGCGTCGAAAGCGAGAATGCTTTAAGGAATGGGCGGAAGCGGCGAAATCTCGTGATGCCAATACCAGTGAATTTAAAAAGCATATAACTCAGCCTCCAGGTCCTTCAAACGGGAAATCACTAAGACAAAATCAGAGCACATTGCCAGATTTGGCGAGAGATTGGCCCAACTCCCTTCAGGGACTCGAGCCTTCTGCCCTGCGATTCTGTAACTCACTTTTCGAACTCACACAGCGGTTTTCGCATCGGCGGTCGCTCTCAAATCAGTCGTGAAGCAGTTATTTTATGATTTGGCATTCTGAAAAGGTGGGAGCTTGTAGTTTATTGTTTATTAGAATGCCAAATCATAAAATGACTGCTTCACGACTGATTTCAGAGCGACCGCCGATGCGAAAACCGCTGTGTGAGTTCCAGTTTGCCCCCCGTTCTATAAAAAAAAATTATGTTAAATTTGTATTATGTTAATGCAACGAAGTGTTAATAAATAAATAATTAAAAATTTCAAAATTTGTTTTCAAGGGCAAAATTCCCAATTTTAAGTAAAAACAGCAAAACATTTATACACACTTGCGTAACTAAATCAATAATTAACTCACTTAATTCAAATATTAACAATGTCAATATTGTATTTACCTTATTTGCTTTTATTCAAAAGGTTTACTATAAAAAGAATGTGCGTAATTCTATTACACTTGACACTTGAAAAGAGCGCTATGGTGCCTTTATTCGTTCTTGTTTTGGGGATCGTCGGAGCGCAGGCGCAATGGATCAATGATTGCCCCTGTATTCCTGGAAGGCTTGAAACTCCAAAATCGCAGTGTTCAGTACCAGACGCGTTCCGTAACTTCAATATTACACCCAATTATCTACCGGTGCCACCGCAGAACTTTTTGGAGGTAATATTATCATTACAATCTTAAGATTTTGTAAGATTTCTAACACAAGACTATTTCATACCCTCCAGATTTAAGAATCTTGTTGTAAATAAATAGCATGGAAGAAAATATATGGATATAAATGTTTTGTTGCTATGTCATCTTGAATAGATGGCGGTAATTGCAATATTTTATTATTAATTTTACAATAAAGCAGAATCTTAACCCTTTTCTCTAAAACAATTATAATTCAATCAATGCTATGTATATTGTCTTGATGTTTTGATTTGCAAAATCAATTTTAAATAATAAATTGAAAAATATACGAAGAAGTCCACCCTCCATTCTAGGTTCTTGCTACAAATTCGCAATTTTTAACAGTTTTTTTCAAAAATTTAAGTCGAAAACAAACCTTCCAAAAATGGAATATGTAGGTTGTATTTTACTTTTTTTAGGCGCCATTTTCTTCAGTAGACGTAAACTTGGGGACTTTCATTTCTCCTCTTAGAATCATAGACCCCGATACGTTTTCCTTCGAAAATGGTAACGCGAACAAATTATACACATTGATCGCTATCGGTGAGTACGTTTTTGCTTTTATTCTTTGTAGAAATAATTCGTGTTTTAAATGTATATATTAACATTTTTATTTATTGCATGCTACTCTTCAACCTCCCTGTCGAATTTGTTCCAGCGATCTCTACCGAATTAATTATAAAATGTTGTAATTCAAGTAAGGTTATGAAAATAATTCGTTTAAACCATTTCATTATAAACGTCTCTTTCTTTCAATTCAGTTTACACTAAAGTGAAAAAGAGATGTATATACAACTTTGTCACATACAAATGCGAGTATTTTAAATTATTTACATAACTAATTTTACTTAATTTATAAATGATAGTCGAGAGATTGGAGTGCCCCTATTTACGACGCTGCTCCGACATCTCCGCAGGGCTTTGTACCTGATAGTTTTTATTTAACTACTTTTCTTCTTATTTTTACTAATTCTACTAACATAGATCTTAAGAAACTATTGTTACTAACTTACTAATCAATCAATGGACTGTATTTGTCTGATAAATAAATTATTATTATTATTATATACATTACGTAAATAATACAACAAACTAATTTGTAATACTATTAACACATTAAACAATATATAACCAATATTTGTTCGCTTCCAGACATTGATAGTCCAACGAATCTGCCACGACATTACAGAGGCTTTGTGAACCTATTAGCGATGAACCTTCCAAGCACGCTGGACTTCTGTTCTGGCCATATCATTGTTCCCTTCACGCCAGCCTTTCCTCAAATAGGAACCGGCTTACACCGAGTAATTGGGCTTGTGTACGAACAAGAACGCCCAATTAACACTGAAGATATAAATCTTTATAGGTGAGGTTTCAACTGACGGGTTGATTGTCCATTTTACTGTACGCATAATATAATATACTCCCGCGATTTCTTCTGCGCTGGATTAAATTAATATTTCTCCAAATGATGTAGCGTGAAAGATATTTTCTACTTAAATACCAGAAGCGATGAAAGTACTTTCACTAGCTGACCCTGCAAACGTTGTTTTGCCGTGTATTTTATTTCTAGGAAACATTTTTTTAGTTCAATAAAAATAACTATCTACTATAATAAAAAATAGAGGTTGATCGTAGAGGGGTGAAAATTAGGGGTTGTATGTATATTATATGCTGTATAATAAAAACAAAAAACAATTGTCTAAAAAAATTAAAAATTAAATTTTTGGTGTTTGAAAGATAGATAGTAGCCGATTCCCAGACTTACAATAATAATTAAGAATATGCATAAGAATCGGTCAAGCCGTTTCGGAGGAGTATGGGAACGAACATTGTGACACGAGAATTTTATATATTAGATTTAGGAATCAACTTATTACTACCATATGTGCATTTGAAATGTACAAACTATATTATTGTAAAGTTTCATTTAAATCCATACAGTAATTTTACTTGAAACTGTGACAAACATCCATCCATACTTACAAACTTTCCCGTTTATAATATTAGGATATACAAACACGAAGCATGTCCAAAGCTGGATTGCTGAGGTCCAGGAAGAACGCGAAAGCGACCTGAAGTGCCTCTTTGATACAGTCGTGTTGTACTACCCGTGATGGTTTAGTGCCTGGAGTGAGTCAAGACACCTATCCTGTATATCTGTCACCGTAAAATTGTAAACACCGTTAGGTTGTAATCTATATCGCGAGATTGTGAACTATCGCATGATTAAGAACCTCAACGTACTGCTTACAACTTAACCTATTATTATTCGGTAGGTTGTAATTTATCGAAGTGAAACCGTCAAATTGTGAAACGACCATATGTCACGCGCCACCATATTTGTGTGTTAATTCGTTTGTTGTTGAATGTATACCGTTCAACGAAACAGCACGCGAGGTGCGTTCCGTTAGAGTTATAATAAATAAGGGAAAATATATTTAATCAATAAATATCCATATATTAGACATAGACATAACATTTATTGCTAACAAAAACACACACACACACAGACATACATACAAATATTCTTTCCCTATTCCCTCTCGGTTCGTTTCAAGTGTGTAATGGTGGCCATTCACGGGCGATCCATATGGCTACCGCGCCACGGGCTCGATACTCTACGTCGCGCCAAGCCAAATTCAAACCATTCACGAACGCGCCAGCGAGCCGTTCCATTTGATCATTTTGAGTGTAGGCGTCGATAGCACTGGACGTGTTCATAATGAACTTCGATTCAGAAGATGAGTTATATTTATCTACCATAGCGATTTGTCTGGTTTAAAAAAAAAGAAAGTGGTGTAAGGATGGGTTGCTGAAAAGATCGCAACTCACTCACATAAATTTAATGAAGGAGTTGACTTTTTTTTCTAAACTTATAAATAAATTGAATAACAAAGTCACGGTTTGAACTCATTGCGAAAACGATTTATATTAACAATGCGTCACGTGCTTCCCGTCCAACGGCTAAACGCAAACTAAAATTAAAATGGCGTGTTTGGCTCGCGAGTAACACCCTTCACGAGCGAGCAAACCGTATGGCATGACGGCTGAGACCGACCGGACCGTTGGTTTTTGTGAAGCGCGCCGCCTGCGTATGCGCGCCGCGCCAATTGACTCGGCGCGATGGACTTTCGCGCAGTTGGAATTCCATCGCGCCGAGCCAATCCATTCGGACCGACAGTGTTTTCACATTAATGGACGAATTTTGGATCGACAGCGTGCCAAATGTATCGATGGATCGCCCGTGAATGGCCGTCATAATGCGTGTGTGCTGTGGTTGTAATTGGCACTAGCTCAGCATTATTGTTCCACTGGTCATTCTGCCAGAGACAACAGCAGCTAGTTATAAACGACTTTATCTATTGACAGGTTGGCCAGGACCCGTATTATAACGCGCATAGCTGATTTCGCAGAGACCTATCGCCTTGGAAATCCACTCGCTGGTAACTTCTTTACAACGCAACTTAGTTACTGCAACAACTAATTGATGATTTATCTATTTTCTAATAAACTCATTTCAAATTATAACGTTTTTATTACCCTATTCAAAAACTAGAAGTTAGACTAGCTGACCCGGCAAAAGTAGTTTTGCCTGTATATTATTTCTAGGAAACATTTTTTTAGTTTAACAAAAATTAAACTAACTATCTACTATAATAAAAAATAGAGGTTGATGGTAGAGGGGTGACAATTAAGGGTTGTATGTATTTGTGTATGCTGTATCATAAAAAAATAAAAGCAAAAATTTAGGGGTGGACAACCCTTAACATTTAGGGGGATAAAAAATTGTTGTTGTCCGATTTTCAGACTTACTGAATATGCATAAAAAATTTTATAAGAATCGGTCGAGCCGTTTCGGAGGAGTATGGGAACGAAGATTGTTGGCACGAGAATTTTATATATTAAACTATAAATTGATCAATGCCGAAAGATAGTTGGAGACAGTTTTTTTTTAATCTGTGTGTTTATCTATATATATGACGGCGCGCTGAACATTACAATAATTTATCATAGCTTGGCTGGATTTGTTAAATTATTAGGATTCAATATTGTTTTTATTGTTATTGTGTTATGACAGCTGTCAGACAAGAGCGCATACACGATAACCTATTGGCTTGTTTCTTGATTAATCCTATTTAATCAAGTGCAGTGTTTTGTGATTAAGTGTTAAATTATAAAGTGCATAATAATAAGACATTAGACAAAACGGGTGTGCTTTTATTTTGAAAATTCCTGTAGACATAAGCCAAAACGCCCACGATGGACAATGACCGTCAAAACCGCCATAAGGCCGCTTCTGACGCTCTTACATATTTAATGTAATTACATATTTAAGTTAATGTGTTGTATTATATTTTTCACAAATACTACTTCTTGCCATTTCTCTCGGAGTGACTTTAATACCAAAGGAAGCGTTCAAGTATTACGTAACGAAATTCTATTTTTATATTGTTAATATTATACACAACATAATGGTAACTTTTAGGTTGAAAGACTCACTAGGTGGTCATGAAACGTTTTACTATAGGGTACAGAAAAACGTTACGGCGCGTTACATGGGGGGGGTGTCAATAATCACCAAAAATTTCTTGACGTAATACTTGAACGCTCCCAAAGAGGAAAATCACTTTTAAGCTCTGAGCCAAAACAGCTCAAACTTAAACACAATATTAAAATAGAACAAGAATAACCCCGTACACAAACATGGTGAACGAAGAATAACATTTATTTAAGTTTAATAAATCACTCAAGGTGTTATGAAAATATTGGTTTACAACATTTATGGAACAAGATTTATGTTCATATTAAACAGTTTAGTATTAAATTCTGATAAAATGTGTGAACACAAATACGTTTTAACGGGTGCTTTAGGCCTACATTTGAAAATATCGCGCCTTTTTTGTGTTGCCCCGATTACAGTTACGCCAAACGGAATTAAATATTCGAGAATTTATGGTATTTTGAGCAGATTAATTGTACTAGCTTTGAGTAAGTATACCTTTTGTTATTAATTCATATAAGTTATGTTAATTTGGTAAAATATATTATTTTCTATGATGAAATTCTTGGGACCGAGAATATTTGAGTTTTAGCTTTCTAAATTATTATTTTCCACGTACATTTAACTCTACACCGCACTCGGAGTACTGTTCTCACCTATGGGCGGGAGCTCCTAAGTACCAGCCCCTTCCGCTTGACCGTATTCAACGAAGATCTATTCGAATCGTCAACGACCAGTCACTTTCCGTGCGGCTTGATCCCTTGGCGTTGCGTAGAGATGTGGGGTCTGCATCTTCTACTAATACCTGCAGCTGATTTTCGTTATCGGACGTCAAGGCAGAATACAAAATACCATCCGTATTACCTCGACGTTCGTCGTTCCACAACTGAGCGTTTTTAAGGCAGTTTTTGCCGCGCACCACTAAGTGGAACCAGTTGCCCACTGAAGTATTTCCGAACCAATCTTCTAAGGCCGAGCGTACCAATTCTTATAAGGCCGAAAACGCACTTGGGAGCCTTCTGGCAATGTAAGTGTCCATGGGCGGCGGTATCACTTAACATCTGGTGAGCCTCTTGTCCGTTTACCTCATATTACATAAAAAAATCGGTTTTTGCTAACGAGTACTACACTTTGTATACACAACTAATACAAAGACAAATCTCCGACTGACCACGATTTGAAGAAAACTATAGAAGTTTCATAAACGACATTCAAAGAGCTTTCTTATATTCAAAACACTGTAAATAATTTTAGCAATAAAATAATTAAAAAAATATTGTTAGATAATAATAGAACGCAACCATTTTAGTTCTATGTATGTCGCAGAATGCCTCAACATTCCTTCCTATTATATAATAAACCTTTTATCTTTAAATATTACACATAATTTCCTATTTTCCAGCAATCATAATTCTAGTTGGCTTCAGCGTTGATCTGTCTGATACAGAACATTCGATTCGTGGAAACAGTATTACTTCCCGGGCAGTGTGGATTACTAACATTACCCTCATTACAGCTATAACATTTGTCGGTGTGTATGATGCACGCGGAAGATTCAAATGCGTTATTCATGCCTTGAATATGATCGAAAAGGTATATAATAAGTAGTAAGACTAACTAGTGTAGTGGTCCAGCAGGTGATAGAGACCTGTGCTTTTGGGATTTATGCCGGTTCCTCCCATATAATGACGTGTAAAGGTTAGAAAAACAAATCTAATTTTTAATTTTGTTTATCCTCAGTATGTAATTCCAACCCATTTTCCTGTGTTTTTTGTTGTTATCCAGAGGACAAACGGACAAGAGGCTCACCTGATGTTAGGTGATGCCGCTGCCCATGGACACTCTCAACCTCAGAGGGCTCGCAAGTGCGCTCCTGACCCTTTTAAAATTGGAACGCTCTTAAAGGACCATAAGTCGTCTTAGATAAAGTAAAAGATATATTTTTAAACCTGCTTTAACTTCAATCTATTATTATTAATAAGGCAATAGTTCACTAATGGATTTTTTAACAATTCAGTTCCGCCATACATTATTTTTACGTAATATTTTTAAGCATATTTTATTCTTAACGTAATGCTTGTTTCAGCTCAAATATAAAATTGGAGCTAAAAAGCATTCAGAACGAGAAGAGTTTATGACACTCTACGCCTGTTATGCACTAATCAGTATTCTTTCAGTTCTGAACGAGTATACAGATATATCTAAGGAAATTATCGAGAATTACGATGGTACTTATTTAAATGCATTTTCTTTTAAATCGCATTTTTTTTACCTAAATTTTTGAAAAGTAAGGTGTTTTCAATAATTGATTATATTCAAATATGTCAACATTTTGGTAGTCTAATCATAATTTCAAATCATTATCTGTCAACCTCATCAAAGGGACCACAGTCTACGAATTCAGACGTAGGATAGAAGCACAGTTCTTATGGGCGCTCTGAAGAAAAACTTTCTTCGTTCGACTTTAAGAAATAAAGATTTACCAAAAGCGAAACTTAAACCAGATATTTTAAGGAAAAAGTTAAGAAAATTAATGAAAATGTTATTGCAAGTTCAGTACGACATTCCGTTATATAAAAAAGATTCCATCTAAGAATAATATTTACATAATTACGTCACTTTTTTACTTTCTCCCTCTCATAACCAGATGATATAACCATCCTGTTTTTGCGTGTCTTTGACAAAAACTTATTAAAATGTTAGCGGGCTCTTTATTTTATTTTAATTAAATAAATTTCTTCTAAAATATTTAAAAGTGCTTATAGGTTAATTTAATATTTTTTAGTGAAACTGATCGTAATGATTTCTACCTTCTCATTTGGATATTTGACCCGTGAGGTTTTATTACTACAGTTCACATTACTTGCGGCAGAGGTCAAAAACTTACTTAAACAGATGAATGACAAATTGCAGGATATTAAAGGTAATTAATTTTACTTTTATTAAAAGGCAGACTACACAAAATACAGTTATGTTTATATCGACATGTCAGGCGTTAATTATAGAAGTAATGAGTTACAATAGTTAGTTTAAAATCAGTGGCGCTGTTAGGGCTGGGCGTCTGATTTCTGAATCTGTTTCAAGATCATTTTTCAATCTAATAGGCAAGTAGGTGATCAGCCTCCAGTGCCTCCAGTACCACACGCCGTCGACTTTTTGGGTCTACGACATGTCGGTTTCCTCACGATGTGTTCCTTCACCGTTTGAGCGAATGTTAAATGCGCACATAGAAAGAAAGTCCATTGGTGCACATCCAGGGATCGAACCTACGACCTCAGGGATGAGAGTCGCACGCTTAAGCCACTAGGCCAACACTGCTCCAATTTAATTTCTATAGTCTATGGTAAATTAAAATTTATCTGTGGATGTGTTTTGTGTTTGCCTCCATTCATATAATTTACTAGATTGACATGATATTAATTCGTTAACACTTGTCTTAATAAATATTAAACTCTATTTAAACGTTTTTATTAATCATTTTAGATAAATTTGATCAAGAAAGCACTTTATTCTCTAACAAAATAAAATCTAAAAATATAAATAGGATTATTGATTCTATGACTATGGAATACAACAGATCGGGTACGTACTATACGAGCTTTCGGGTTCATAACTAAAAACTTCCGTGGCACCAAAGTATAACTGGTGACTTTCACCAGTTTAATACTCGAAACAGAACAAATCGTACGTACGACCAACCAGGCACCAGAAGATAAACCACTCCTTATATGAAAATTGTATTCGTTTTTACAACAAATTCCCAAGCAAAATTAGACAGTTATCACTGAATAAATTTGAACCTCTCGTAAAACGTAAATTAATGAATCAACTTTTTATAAATTTCACGATTATTTAAATGATCCTTATCTTTGGATTGATTTAGTCCAGTTCAAATAATTATGGCTGCTCTGCCTTACAAACAATTTGAATGACTGAAAACTTGGCGATTAAAAAGTGTGGCGGGGAGTTTCTTGCCAGTTCTT